TTGCTGCAAGTCCCACTTTTGACTCGAGATATGTCAACCTAAATAACAGAGAGGGACTCTAAAAGAAAATGATTTATCTGTTTGAGAATGGGCATTGCAGTGGGAATGCACATGTTGTAGTAAACTCTGCATATTCAGGGAGGTAAAGGGAGACAAAGGTTTTTAAAGGAAGAATGAGGAGAATTACATAATTATTTTGAGATAATTATTCTTGGCTACAAGGATCAATAACAAAGGTGGTACCAGTTCGGAGTTTGACAGGCAGTTGCTGGGCAAACATCCTCACAGGATTTTTGTATAAGGTTATGATGGCCTTTGTGCAAGATTATGGTTTTTTTCAGTTTTTTGCGATAGTTGTTTTATCAAGCATTATCCATGAGAACCCTTTCTTCGTGGCCTTCCCCGGCTCTATTTGTTGGGGGTTTTAGCACACGTGACTCCATTATGTTACACAATTTGTAACAAAGCTTTTTTTAAAAAAAAACCTGGAAAGCTATAGGAAAGTCAGTACTAGCTTTGCCATATTTATGCTAGATATTTACATGATATAATGAAAATTTGATTATAAAATAAATAGATGAGCCATTATAAATCGACATATTTCTGTTATTAAAATTTCTTAGTAGAGAAACAGCTCAGGAGAGACATGGTGGCACATAGTGTGTGAGAAGAACGTGATTTTGACTTCCAGCTCAGCCATTGTCTGCTATATATGATCTTAACAAGTCCTAAGACCTCTAGGCCTTGGCTTCCTCCTGTAAAAGTCCTTACAAGATTTAGATAATATATCTGAAAATTATTGTGAATATTAAAGTGTCTTATTAGATATTAGATTAAGCCTAGATTACAAATTAATATAGGAAACCTAAAAACATCAACACTATCTGCTTTTCTTTCTAGTCAATTTGTTTTTTTTTTACAGTTTTTCTCTCATGAATGCCGTATTCTATCACTAAATACTTTTCCTTAATAATTTTATTTGATTTCAGTTTAATTAGCTGATTAGCCTATAATTCAGGTAAAAATTTAATAGTTTCTTTCTTAATTAGCAGAAATACTACAAAGATACTATTATTCCTTTTCCCTTTTCAATAACAAAAATTCATTTAACGAGAGTTTTTGGAAATCACAGAGTGGAAAAGCTTGTGATCTTCTAAATGTAGGAAAACTTGTTTGCTTGTTAAAATGATTCTTTTTTTTTTTTTTTTTTTTTGAGACGGAGTCTCGCTCTGTCGCCCAGGCTGGAGTGCAGTGGCCAGATCTCAGCTATGAAAGGACTTCTAGTCCCATAGGATAATTATGGCCACTTTATTTCTGTCCGCAATATCAATAAAGAGAGCCAATAGAACCACCCGTAACTCTTGCCTGCTGTATTAATAGGAGTTAGAGATTGCTGTATATATCAGTAGTGAAGTGATCAACTGAAACCAGCAGGGCCGGCTCTGGAGCTCATGCTGAAGTGAAAAGTCAAACAAAGACTGAAAGGAAAAGAGAAGATTGTTGGTACAGGGGATGGGTTGACTAGTAGGGGTGAAATAAAAATGAAATCGCTTGAAGAAAGAGAGTTCAACCCTGAGTGAGAAAGTATTGAACAATTCTGAGGCTGGAAGGATTAGAGAGCACTGGCTACTGGAGAATCAAAGTGACATTTTGTTTTTCGTTTTTTTGAGACAGGGTTCCACTCTCTCGCCCAGACTGGAGTGCGGTGGCAAGATCACAGCTCATTACAGCCTCAACCTCTCTGGGTCCAGGTGATCCTACCACCTGAGCCTCCTGAGTAGCTGGGACTATAGGCATGCGCTACCACACCTAATTTTTTGTATTTTTTTTTGTTTTAGGAGTATGTGGGACCAGAGTTAGCATGGTAGTCTTGGGAAAGTACTGTTTTGAGGGGAGACAAGTAGTTGATTCAGAAGTGTGAGATACTCCTTTGAGAGTGGTAATGAAAGAAAAGAATGGAAAGAAAGGATAGAAATTAAAGATTCCTCTTGTCCCCCAAATAAAAAAGAAATAACAAAATCAGAAGCTAATCCCTCCTTTTCATAATAGCACCATATATTAAAGAAACTTGACTTCATTATTTTTCCAGAAGGGAGCACTTTGGAATTAAGTAATCTTGCCACCCCACAACCTTACCCCTGCATTCATAAAATCACCTGTTATTACTGACCAAGCCAAACATTAGGCATTTCAAAATGAAGAAAAGACAACATGGAAAAGCCATGTAAAGGTATTATTTAGGAAGAAACAGAAAACGTGAATAAAACAGTTTAGTTGATGAAAATTTCCCCCTTAACACCCAAAACAAAGCAGAGGAAGACTGCAATACGACACCTTGACTTGATTTAGGTTTGTTTAAAAAGCATTTTCAGGTATGGAAAGCATACTTTAATTTTGAAATTCAGTAACTTAGAATAAATGGACAAAGAACAGGGGGATGTGAAATAAAAGTTGATCAAACTCAGGAGCAAAGTTCAGGCAATAGTAGTTATCTCAGAAATGAAAATGAAAAAATAAGATATCCAAAGGAAACTACATTCAACTGAGAATATAATAAGGGACATTGAGGAGAAGACTGAAAATAACCAAGAGAACAAAACTAAAAAAAGAGGTCAAAATAATCAGGTAGGGTGTGACAAATATGATAGACAAATAAGATTTAACATATTTAATTGGAGTTCCTGAAGACAGAAAACAACGATGGATTGGAATTAAGATCTAAAATTATAATCCAAGAAAACGTTCCAGAAATAGAAAACCTAGCTTTACACATCAAAACAGTTTGTTTTCCCAATTAATCCAGAATGATCAATTCTGAAACTGTACTAGTATATCGTACTGTAATAAATTATCAGAAATTTAGTGATTTAAGACAACACATTGTTACTGTCTTACAGTTTTGTATGTCAGAAGTCTAAAATGGGTCCACAGGGCTTTCCTTCCGGAGGCTCTCAAGGAGAATCTGTTTCTTTGCCTTTTCTAACTTCTAGAGGCTGCCTTCATTCCCTGGCTTGTAGTTCCATTCTCCATCTTCTAAGCTAGCAGCGTAGCATTTTCTCTTATGTCTGACTTGTCTTCCTCTTAGAAGGATCCTTGTGACTATATTGGGCATATCTGGATAATGCAGTGTAATGTCTACCTGAAGATCCTTAACTCAGTGACATCTGCTAAGTCCCTTTTACCCCATAAGAACGTATTCACACGTTCTAGGGATTTGGACTTTGGTATCTTTGGAGGCAGGGCCATTATTCAGCCTACCACAGAGACTTCTTGGAAAGCATTTAGACTTTAAAAATAACAGAAAAAAAATCTCTGAGCTTTCAGGCAAAAAAATACAAGTCCCTTACAAATGAAAGTCAGTCAGTGAAAAAGCAAGACAACAAATACATCAACAATTTCAAGAAACTCAAGGAGAAAGGAAGTGTAAGCCAAATAATTTCATGTTCAGTCAACCTGTCATTCAACTATCAAAGCTAGAGAAAAACAATATTAAATATGGAAGAACTCAGAGAACACTACTCATAAGGCATTTCTTAGGACAACCTTGATGTGAAAGAGATGACTGGAGAAACGAACAAAAGGATTGATAATGAACATTGAATTTAATTAAGTTTAGCTCCAAACTAAAATTAAGGTGGAAATAAGAGTAGAAGAATAGTATGTAAATATTATGTATTCTGACAAGGTAGGATTATTACAACTTTAAAAAAATGGGAAAAGAAGGAAAAGAGAAAGGGGAAAATAAAATAAACTTGTTGATTGCTATACCCGTAAGAGATGAATATCAAAGAATACTTCAAAAGCTAAAACTACTGTTTTTAAAGTATACTCAAAGAAGGCCCACACTCATCCTTATCTCTTCCAACCTGTTCTTCATGCAGATTTTGGATATTTAATTGTTCAAATCTGGCATTATTTTTAAATTAGTCCTGTAAATTAGCTCATTTTTGAGAGTTCTGTGAGAGTTTTAGAGTTGGTGAGCACCTTTGCATCAAATTGCCTTATTTTTTTTATGAGTAAACAATTCATTTTTTCGAAGTCATGCAGCTAAAACTGTCCTAGGGCATTCTTTACTCATTATACTATAGTGTGTTGCCTTATAAAAATTTGTCACGTCATAATCACTTCATATTCTTAATAGTGTTTTGGTTGTTTAGCAGTTTTAATTGTAAGTAAGGCCAGGATGGAGCAATTAAAATACCTTGAACTCTGCAAGCATCCTACAAGGATTCAACTCATAGCTCCAGTATTGACTGGCTAAATGTCCTTGGGTGACTTAACCTTTGAGCCTCAGTTTTCTGGTGTGATACCTACTTTGAGGGATTCCTATAGAGTTTAGAAATAGTATATGACAATTGTATCTAATATGGTAACTAGAACATTGGGAGTTTTACTGAATGGTAGGTGGTAGTATTTATTGTTTTTTTGTTGTTGTTGTTGTTTTTTAAGTCAGAGGCTCACCCTCACCCAGGCTGGAGTGCAGTGGCACAATCTCAGCTCACTGCAACGTCCACCTCCCAGGTTCAAGTGATTCTCGTGCCTCAGCCACCCAAGTAGCTGGGAATACAGGCATGCACCACCATACCCAGCTAATTTTTGTATTTTTAGTAGAGATGGGGTTTCAGCATGTTGCCTAGGCTGGACTTGAACTCCTGGCCTCATGTGATGCTCCTGCCTTGGACTTCCAAAGTGCTAGGATTACAGGCATGAGCCACCACACCCAGCTTGGGTGAAATTTTTTGATAGCTACAACAGTGATCATAGTAAAAGAGATTATTAAATAGTTAATATCTAGATACTGCTTTATAAATTTATGCCATTCTAATATATACATTAAATTATTTTGTACAGGTACAAACATGTTTATTGCATGTAAATATTTTTATTTTCTATTTTGTTAATAAATTAAAAAATTTAGTTTTTCTAGGGCTCTGTTTTAAGTACAGCATATTGATTTTATATATTTTTAATTCATTTTTGCTCTTCTATTTTTTTTTCAGTTCCCAATGGGAAAAGCTACAGAAAGATGACACAGATCCCGGGCAACTGAAAGGTATCAAAGGAAGTATTGAGACAGTTACCAGAGATACTTCTTTAGCCAATTATCAAGATACTAAGTTAATACTAAAGAGCATTTAGTCAGGAAACAATGTTATAAAAGAGAATTTACTTTTCAAGCTATAATGCTATTTTGATTAATGAATTTTCTTTAACTGAAGCTCTAATTTAATGGGAGGAAATAAAGTTTGAATACCAGTCTTTCTATTTTCTAAATATTGGATTATATCATGAAAATCAAGCAGTTTCTATTGCTTTAAATGCTTTTATTAAAGCAATCTAATTATATGACAGTTTTATCTCATGTTTATATTTCATGAGTTTTGTGGAATAAAATGTAATTTTATGTTAATTGGTTTAGGGTATGCACTTTGGTGGTTATGTTTTGAAAGCTTTGTGCTTTTGTTTTCTTTAAGAAAACTGCTACTTTGGATTCATGCCACATATTAAATAGAACTAATTTTACTTTAAAAAATAAGCAAATATTGAAAATGTTATTTTTTTAAAAATGTCAGTGGCTGATCGTTAAAGAAAATGGTGTGAAATAGTGATGTTAAGATGTTGCTTTGTGTTTTTTTGGTTGTTATATGCTCCAGATGCTTTACAAGTGACTTCTAGTTGTATGTTTTTAGGAAAAGGGATAGATGCCAGAGTTAGAACAAATCTGTAGTAATTGATTTGCACTACTTTCTGTCTGTTTGACCTTGAACCCAGCTCAATTTTTGATTTGTAAAATGGGAAGAATATTTAGCATTGTTACTGCGAAGATTCAAAGTGATGCTTAAGTAAAGCACCTAACACAGTGTCTGACACATAGTAGATTTTCAGGAAATATCAGATTTCTTCCCTTCCCTTAAGAATCAGTGCTACTTGACTGACCCTACTGTTTTATTTATCCATTCATCAGTTATTTCCTATGTGCAAGGCAGTATAGGAATACAAAAAAACATTAGACAAATAGTTTGTCATATAGGAATACAAATAGTTTGTCATATAGGAATACAAAAAAAATTAGACAAATAGCTCCTTCAACAAATAGTTTTGTTTACTAAGGGGTATGGTTTACGTACAGGTTAAGCATTCTGAATCCAAAACTTCCAAATAGAAAATGCTCCAAAATTTTCTGAGTGCTGACATGAGCTCAGAGGAAATGCTCGTTTTCTTTGATTTTTTAGAATTTCGGGATGTTCAACTGGTATAGACAAGTATTCTAACATCTGAAAAAAATCCAAAACACTTCTGGTCCCAGGCATTTCGGATAAAGTATACTCAACCTGTACAGTTAACTGTTAATATAAGGCATCACGTTATGTGGGAATACTCAAAGTAGGAATTCATAGTTAGAAATACGTTTTTCTATTGATGTGGTAGGGGGACATCAGGGGTTTAAGGGAGAGCGTGGCCTTGAAGGGAAGAATGAGTAGGATTTAGACTTCAGAATGAGAAGAATCAAGCAAAAATAATAGATTGAGTAAAGCCTGTCATTAATGATAATGTTAATCACCACCACGACCATCATTATCATGACACTTTTTAAGATAAGGAAATAGGTCATTTTGACTAGAGAATACCATATGGAAATCAAAAGTTAAGTGAGAAGAGATACTTAAAACCCAATGGTAGCCTGATAAGTACTTCATCAAAGTGTTTTGTTATATAGGCCTCTCAGCGCATACTCATGTGGAACTTCCATATTACTCTAAGTTCATTCTAATTGCTGCATACCTTGCTTCATACAATCCAGCAAGAACTGACAAGAGGTTTTTTCTTAAGGTAATAATAACATACTTTTTTTCACTTTATTTTTTAAGATCCCAGGAATATTTTGAAATTTCGTAACACTTGTAAATTTCTAAGGGGAAGAGATTAGAATAAGATTGCCAAATACATATTTAGGACTCATTCTTTAAAGGGTTTACATTAATGTCACAATCTGAAATTTGAGAAAAGGTAGGCAGTTTCATAGAAAAGAGGAAATCAGATATACTTTAGGTAATAATTCAGATTTTAAAAATACATAGAGTTTTGTTTAAAGTGTGGAGGATGTTTTAAAACTCTCACTATAGTGAATTATTATCCAGCACACTGAAGGAGCCTCTCCTGTACATTCATTAGTTAGAGAAATCCCAGTTTAGAGTTGTTGTTTTTTTCTTCTTCTTCACCCACTATGTTCTTGTCACTTTAGCCTTTTTCTTTCCTCAAAACATTCTAATCTCTTTCCTACCTTAAGGTCTTTGTCTGTATGTTCTGTCTTTCTAGAAAGCTTCTTCTCTACTCCTTATTCTTCAGGCTTCAGTTTAAATGTTGCCTTCTCAAAGCAGTTCTCCCTGTACAACCTATCTTAAAATAGGTCCTCTTTATTGTTTCCTATGTTTGCTTTCTTCTTTGGACTTACAACAATTTTTATTTATTTATTTATTTATTTACTTATTTATCATGTCTTGTGCTACTCTCCAGAACTTTTATTTTTTATTTTTTTGAGAACGAGTCTCACTCTGTCACCTAGGCCTGAGTGCAGTGATGTGATCTCGGCTCACTACAGCCTCCGCCTCCCGGCTCCAGTGATTCTCGTGCCTCAGCCTCCCAAGTAGCTAAGATTACAGGTGTGCGCCACCACACCTGGCTAAGTTTTATGTTTTTGGTAGAGACAGGGTTTTGCTATGTTGGCCAGGCAGGTCCCAAATTCCTGGCCTCAAGTCATCCTCCCACCCCGGCCTCCCAAAGTGCTAGGATTACAGGTGTGTGCCACTGTACCTGGCCCTCTTTAGTTTCTAGAGGGCAAGGACCACATCTATTGTTTTCTCCCACTATTGAATCGTGAGTGCCTTACTGAAATGCTCTCCATCAGTGTTTATTATGTGAATTGTGCCTTACTAAAATGCTCTCTGTCAGCGTTTTTTATGTGAATTGCCAGACTTGTTTATGAGATGAATAAAAATCCATATCTCTTTGGAAATTTCACTTTTATAGCAATGTATATGCTGTACTAAATCAATATAATAAGTTCTTTTAGGAAATGTCGTTATTTTATTTTAGAAATTCTTTTTTTTACATGCAGAAGTAATCTTACATCCAATCCAAGTCTAAATGAAATTGGCCTAAAATATGTTGAAGTCTAATATATATACAAGGTGATAAGAAGAATAATTATTTAGAAACCTAAGATATATAGATTAGTATTATGTGTGCCATGTTTTAAATAAATAATGTTTTCTGGTTTTGTGGAATACTATCTTTTCAACTTAAAATTTATTTTCCTTAATTGCAGCATCATGGAAAAATCAAGAAAACCAACTTTCTAAAAAAACACGAAAAGGTATTTATATTTTAATTTCTCTAATGGAAGAAACTTAAGAAATGAAGATAATATAGGGAATAGATACATCTGTAATTGTATTTGTCATTTGAATATAGGAACTTATTTGCGTTGATATGGTACCGTTATACTGTAACCGTACAGTATATGTACCGTTTTTGTACATATACTGTACAAAACCGTATATGTACTGTTATGTTATGTTGAATACAGTGTTTGAAGGCACATTTTAGTGAGCTGGTGCTGGAGATTAAAACTGAGTTGACAAAGTTTTTTTAGTGTTTTAGTAGATGAAGCAGTTTACCCTGGATTATTTAGTTAAATACAGCCAATTGAATACAGGCATTTTCCTCTTTTCTTTCCCCTTTGAAGCACCCATGACAATGACATTGAAGAAATAAAAAAGGTAAACTCATAAATACTAAGCAGATGAGAGATCCCCGGAAATTGGAATTGCATGGTAGGTAGATATTGAGGTGACTAAGCAGATTGGAGAAAACGCTAAAACCTAAGCCTCAAACTTAGCTGATTTGGCCTTAGGAATCTGGAAAAAGTTTAGGGATTAGAAGCACTAAGTACTTTTGAAGGGGGGGTCAGGCAAGGTTGAAACTGGTTAAAGCAGCATTTAGACCATTCAGATCATTTCTTCCACTTTGTATGTCCAAACCACTGTTGCTTCTCTTGTCAGAAGATGGAGAATTTTGAACTATAAACTCTGCACTATAGAAACTGCAAATTTTGTTTCCCTTATTCTTAGAGGCAGTTTTGCTCAATTCCAGGACTTCCTGACTCCAGAGCCTATGATGATGTTTACCACTGTTCTTGAACTCCTACAACAGACAAATGGTTAACCTTTAGAATTTTTATTATTTATCTGTTTTTGAGGCAGGATCTCACTCTGTCACCCATGGTGCAGTGCAGTGGCGTGATCATAGCTCACTGCAGCCTCAACCTCCTGGGCTTAAGTGATCCTCCTATCTCAGCCTCCCTAGTAGCTGGGACTACAGGCACACACCACCATGCCTGGCTAATTTTTGTAGAGACAGGGTTTCACCCAAGACTCATCTAAGCCCAGGAGTTCGAGGCTGGTCTCAAATGATCCACTCCTCTCAGCCTTCCAAACTCCTGGGATTACAGGCATGAGCTACCATGTCTGATCTAATGTCTCGAATTTTTAAAGACTCATTACAAACCAATAAGAAAAAGACAAAAATTCAATAGCAAAATGGATAAATGATACAATAAGGAACCTGAATGTCTAATAATCATGACATGATTATCAGCCTTATTCACTAATGAGAGAAAAAGTTAAAACAACAGTGAGATATTTCATTCTCTTGGTTTGACAAAACTAAAAAAGTCTGTGATTTCAAGTGCTGGTGATAATGTAGAAGAGTGAGAGTCTGCGTATTCTGCAGGTTGACAATATCTGCTGAAGTTAATATGTTAATATTAGGATAGACTGGTTATGCTTGTAGTAAAAAGCAAACCTCGCCCAGGCGCAGTGGCTCATGCCTGTAATCCCAGCAGTTTGGGAGGCCAAGGCGGGTGGATCACGAGGTCAGGAGATCGAGACCATCCTGGCTAACATGGTGAAACCCCATCTCTACTAAAAATACAAAAACAAAAATTAGCCGGGCATGATGGCGGGCGCCTGTAGTCCCAGCTGCTCGGGAGGCTGAGGCGGGAGAATGGCATGAACCTGCGAGGCGTAGCTTGCAGTGAGCTGAGATCACGCCACTGCACTCCAGCCTGGGCGACAGAGCGAGACTCTGTCTCAAACAAACAAACAAAACCCCCAAACCCATGGTGGCTTTATACAACAGAATTTTTTATGTTGCTTACAGCATAACTGAATATGAATTGAGTGGCCCTCTTTCATCTTACAGTGATATGAAGTGAAACATTTTGGCTTCTGAAGTTGCCACTAAAGGGAAGGAAGGTGCAAGACCAGGCTTGGAAGTAGCTTACATCACTTCTATTCATATTTCATTGGCCCAGCAGAACCCAGTTACATGACCTCTATCTAACTGCACAAGAGACTGAGAAATGGAGTCTTCTTGTGTGTCAGAGAAGAAACAGTGTTGGCAAACACTGACTCTGCCTTGTACTTTAATCCAGCAGTCCTACTTAGAGAAACACACATTTGCACAAGGAGAAATGTACAGGATTATCAGTCACAGGATTATTTGTAATAATAATGAATCTTTTTTAAGTAGTCGTAAAATGGAATTCTGTAAGGTAATTTAAAAATGAACTAGAGCTACATGTATCTATATGGATAAATCTCAGAAAGCAATTGGTAGAGAGGTATGTTCAAAATGATATCATTTATATAAAATTTTAAACCATGCAAACAATGCTGTATATTGTTTGTGGATACATATGCAGTAGTATAAAACCTTCATGAGAATACATCAAATTCTAGATAGTGGAATTTTTCTAGAGAAGGAAAGGGAGAATAGGATGGGAGAAGGTTCAAGGAAGCTTCAGCTTATCTGTAATGTGATCTAATGTTTTATTTCTCTGCACGTATTGCGCAGTATATTTGATAAAATTGAGTGGTGAGTCCATTGGTATTCATTATATTCACTTCTGTACACTTTTATATATTTGAAATATTTAATAACAAAAGCATACAAAATTTAAGACCTGGAAAATAATTTCTAACTGAGGTTAAAAACTTCATTGTATAATTCTGAGTAGGTATTCTTCTTTACATTCATTCTTATTTTAAATAAATTGTTACTCCCATGCATGTAAATACAGTTTCCAATTTTATTTGCCATTGCTAATATAAAGTACTTATCTGTGGCTGGGTGCACAGGCGCACGCCTGTAATTCTAGCACTTTGGGAGGCCAAGGTGTGCGGATTACTTCAGGTCAGGAGTTCGAGACTAGCCTGTCCTACGTGGCAAAACTAAATATACAAAAGTTAGCCATGTGTGGTAGTGCATGCCTGTAATCCCAGCTACTTGGGTGGCTGAGGTATGAGAATCACTTGAACCTGGGAGGTGGAGTTTTCAGTGAGCCAAGATCATGTCACTCCAGCCTGGGTGACAGAGTGAGGCTCTGTCTCAAAAAAGGAAATAAATATTTATTGACTATTAAAATTATCTGCTAATAGAATGGAACTTGAGCATTGTCTCATTTCTGATGACATGAATTATACTATATGAGTTCATATACAAGTATGAACATTTTACAATCTTGAAAAATTTTTTTTAATTCTACATTGTTTTAGGCTGATAGCTCATTTGCTTTATAAAGTATTTTATTAGTTTTCTAAGTTAAGCTACGACTTACTGTAATTGATCCTTTTAGAGCTACTAATGTTGAACAAATAAATTTTCCTGGCAGTGGTACAAAGAGGGATTGTGAGAAATAAGTAGTAAGCTGTAGTCTACGATTTAGGAATCTGGTTTGGTTATTATCTTGGATTTGGCGAAATCACTCAACACCTGGTTATAACAGCAAAGGCATATTTAGGACTAGACCGGATGACTGTGAGTTCTTTAGTTAATATTTGTTGATACTAAGTCAGAAATCTTGAGGAATATGTTAGAAGATAAATCATGGCTGAGTATGGTGGCTCAGGCCTGTAATTCTAGCACTTTGGGAGGCCAACGTGGGGAGGATTGCTTGAGGCCAGGAGTTTAAGACCAGTCTGGGCAACATAGTGAGACCCTGTCTTTACAAAATAATTTGTAAAAATACCCAAACATTGCGGTGTGTGCCTAGAGTCCTAGCTACTCAAGAAGAGAGACTAAAGTGGGAGGATGGCTTGAGCCCAGGAATTCAAGGCTGTAGTGAGCCATGATTGTGCTGCCACTGCTTTCCAGCCTGGGTGACAGCGGACCTTGTCTCTAAACAAAACAAACTTAAAAAAAGGATAAATCATGATCGTATCAGGTAATCTTTTAACTTACAGATTGCAGGTTAGATTTGTTAGCATTTTTAGGGGAACTATAAAAAACATAAATACATTGTTACTGCCAGTTTTGTAGTATAGAAAGTGAGTGCTCTGGTATAAGAAGAAAATCCATGTTTTTGTTTTGTTTTATATAGACGAGCAATCATCTCCTTGGACCAAAACCATTTCCACTAGACAGATTATTAGCAATATTATACAGTATCGTGGACAGCAGAGTTGCTCCAACAGCAAATATTTTTTCCCAGGTAAGCTTAATCATAGGTTATTATCTGTCATCTTTGTGGGATTCTTCAGAAAGTAGAGTTGATAGAATTCCAGGTGTTCACAGTTTTGTTCCATATATGTTATTGTTTTAACTATATAATGAACCATGTTTTTGGTAAGTAATTGAAAATTATGTCTATAGAATCTTTGAGGGTATCACTGTCACTAAATTTGCATATGTTTACAAGTATAACCTCATGGCAAATAATTTAATTTGGCTCTTTTTCAATAAAGGAATTTTTAAAATTAAATGATCATAATTATCTTGCTAATTAAACAAGTGGCTTGATGACTAAGTTGATGAATTGTAATTTAATGAAAATAAAATTTAAAAAAATTTTTGTAAGAGAGTAATCTACAACGTCCTTATTCCTCATCTCTGTACTTTGCAGATAGATGTGCTTTTATTAAAAAATGCAATTTTCCAGAATAATTAAGTTCTCAGAATTTCACTAGGTGGCAGCAAAAGCATAAAAATAGAAAATATGACTTTTAAAAAAAACAAGTAGTTACGGTTTGTTTTTTAGTTGACATTTTAAGAAAAAACAATTTATTAAAATTATAATAGATTTCTTAAATGATCCAGAAAAACAATGCTTAGCACATGGTACAAGTGGATAGAAGAAAAAGCGAAATGATGTAACTAGTATTTATTTAAAAGCAAAGTCATGTCAGATATTGCAGTGAGTATTTTGTTTTCTCTATGCATTTTTAGGTTGAGAAATATGTAAATAATATTTACATTTTAATTAATTCACTGAATAAATCTGGCCCCAGAATAGCTGTCAGACTTTGTAATCTAATGTGTGCTGGTAACTTTTAATTTTTCTTTTAGAGAAGAGTTTGAGTAACAAATATAGTCTCAATTTTCTCAACATTGAATTTAGATAGGTTTTTTTTTTTTTTTTTGTGAGACAGAGTCTCGCTCTGTCTCCCAGGCTGGAGTGCAGTGGCCGGATCTCAGCTCACTGCAAGCTCCGCCTCCCGGGTTTACGCCATTCTCCTGCCTCAGCCTCCCAAGTAGCTGGGACTACAGGCGCCCGCCACCTCACCCGGCTAGTTTTTTGTATATTTTTAGTAGAGACGGGGTTTCACCGGGTTAGCCAGGATGGTCTCGATCTCCTGACTTCGTGATCCACCCGTCTCGGCCTCCCAAAGTGCTGGGATTACAGGCTTGAGCCACCGCGCCCGGCCGAATTTAGATAGTTTTTATAAATGTCTGCATGTATAGAAAATTGTATCTGCATTTATAGTGTTCTTGAAGAAACTCAGTTCACTCATTTACTAGGCTACATAAGTAGCTAGCTAGATAGGTAGATAGCTAGCTAGACAGGTAGGTAGATCACTAAAGCTGATAACTTTTAAAAAGTTACGGGGATTTTTCCCATATATATTTTTAAAAAGCTTGGTCTGAAATTGGTTTTTAATCAAACTTTACATTTTATTAATAGCTTTTTACATACAACATAGGAATTTTTTGTTTTGTGTTTACTGGTGCAGTAACTCTAGATTAGCAGGTATTTTGAATTATCAGGTCTTTATTATAAGCAATGGAGCCTTACGTTAGGTCGGAGAGATTAAACAACTTTTGCAATATGATGCAATGAGTAAACCTTTGAGATGTAAAGCCTAGGGAAGTGAGACAGACAGTGCTTTTGAACAGAGCAGAGACATGTTTGCATCACATGTGATTGTACTTCTCAGGTGCCCACAAATTACCTGTGTGAGGGGCACAATGAAGGATAGTACATGTTTTTTCTTTCAATGAGCTTATAATTTATTCTAGGGCATTAAAATGTATACATAAAAATACTTTCTTAAGGCTGTAAATGAATGCTAGATAGTGCTCCTGAGGAGTTTAGAGCAGAAAGAGATCACTTCTAGATTGGGCAGGATGAAAGAATTCATAGAAGATGAAAAATGAGGCTTGGCTGTGGAGAATGAGTAGAAGTTTTTGTTTTTTAAATATTTCTAATTTACATTAGTGATACATGTTTATTACACAGAAATGTGTAAATGGGTAAATAGAGAAATAGTAGCTTATAATCAACTGATACCTTATTTCCAAAGGATAGAGTTTAGGTTAGAGATTCAGAAAGAAAGGTTAATATGATCCGAAGAAAGGTATCCGAAGAAAAGTATGTGACCTTGTGAACTGTCACCCTGGTTTGGTTGGAATTGAATGGCGTTATATTGTAGTAGTAGTAGTCATTGTAGTTGTGATTTTAGCAGTAGCAGTCATGGTAACACTACTGCCACCACATGTCACACCTTACTATTGGTACCTTACACATTGTACTTTACATTCATAGAGCATTTTCTGTTTTTAGAAATAAACTCTTCAGCAGTTTTATCCTCTGGGGAAAAAATATAGCAATTAAAAACAATGGGAGGCTTCTGGTTTAGAGATTTACTAGCTGCTCTGAGCCTTTGACTGTGATGAACAATGTCAGCAGTCTTCGTGGTTATAGCAGTGTGAGTAATATTACATAATTAAGAAAACAACTTGGCCCAAAATGCATCTTTGTCTGTTAGTGAAGTTAAATTTTTTTCAAACTTGACAATTGTAGTTGCTGATTTTTTTATTCTTTATCTCTTCTAATTAACATTTTGTAATCAAAACGATAAATTTGTATATTTAAAGTATTGTTATACATGAATTTAGGTTAATTTAATAGCAAGTCATTTAGGAACACGATCTTAGTTATTCTCATTGGGTATACAAAGGGTCTGGGAGTACATAGGGATAGATGCAACTAGTTCTAAGGAGTTGATCTTTACTTTTGCTTGGTCAGTAAAGTATCCAAGAAAATCTAATAACATATGTATTGTGTTCAAGAACAAAATGTGGCAGGACTCTCATCCAAAGAGTATTTCTCCCACATGCCTTGTATTTTCTTCTTCCCATTGACTCCCAGTGACCTTTTCTATTTTTCTTCTTTCTCCTTTTATTCTTCTATCAAAATTATACTCTTAACCATGGGAATGTTAGTTTATATTTAACCTACATACGCTTAATTTTTTAAGTGAAAAACAGGAACACATTTGTTTTGAAAGTGCTTATTTGGTACGAACACTAGATGGCAGTGTTTTGGCAGTCTAGCTTTAAGATGAGCCAGACAAACAGACCTTTTACCTGTTAATACTGTCTCTGACATCTAGAGAAATTTGTTAACACACGGAGTCATTTGAATGGAAATAAAATTGCTGAAAAATGTAATTATACACACATATGTGTGTATTTACACTTTTATGAAAATGTAAATAAAATTGGCAGTGAATTATATTTTGTACCTGGAAGTAAATTGCTTATTAGTTATAATGTGTCTATATGAGATGGTCATATATTTATTTTTGTATTCACCTGTTTTAAGGATTTATTTTATAGTGATATGTTATTTTTATATCTGGATTTAGTGCTTAAATAATTGTTTAAACTTCTTTCATGTATAAATTGATCATGTATGATATAGACATTCAGAATTCTCCTGAAGCAAAAGTTTATTTCCATTGTATTTCATTTAAATCTAATCTATTCTATAATAAAGTTATAAAAATAGTAACTCAAGGACTCTTTAAAGTTTATTAAAATTCTGGTTGAGAATAATAAATTTATAATAGTACTAGCAGCAATATTGTATTGTAGTTGACATTATTCTGAATTTTTTAATTCTCTATTGAATTTTAAATAAAATTCTATTCATTAACTCTTTAGTCTCCCAAGTAAGTAAAGAGAATAGTAGCACATTTAACATTTTATGTTAATGTTCAGATTTATTGAACTTAAATATGACTTAAAAATTTTTTTTCAGATTATTATTTTAATCTTACCTGGTTTTTACCTTTAGTACAACTTTGCAGTCATTATCTTGGGTCATTTTTAAATTTTTCATTCCAATAAGATAAATGTAGCCCTTCTATATATGCCTGAACTTCGTGGGTGACAAAGCATTAATTCTGGTATTTATTCTTTTCTCCTTTCCTTTCTGCTCTCATCATAAGATAGAATGGAATACATGCAGTAAGTGGGTAAAGTTTTTAGGTATTCTTTCTAAATTTTTAATTTGATCAGATACGGTTTTGAAGACCATTTGTCAGCTTTTAAAGAAATACTATTGTCTTTTTTTCCAGAAATATATTAAAGCCAGGTTATGCTTTTTAATTTTATCTTTTTTTCTTAAAAGAAAAAACTATGGGAATTTCTGAATTATCTGTTTCATTCTTTTTGTAGTTCTATATCTTTTCTTACTCATTCTTACCTCCCCCACCCCAATACTGTTGAGTTAGCTAAGAGCAATAGGAGTACAGTTCTTTAAGATTGTCAGAGATATCATTTATACCAAGAAACAGCTGAAAGATAAGAAAATGAGCATAGTTCTTTTTAAAAAACAGTTCTGTGTACCATATTGACAAGTTGCATTTTTCCATAATTAATACCTAATTTCTGAGTGGTTTCATACTTAGTTGTACATAATAAAAAATTTAGAGTCTTTTCAAATTTATTTTCATGTATAAGAACATAAACATTTCATAGCATAGTTTAATATACAAATATATGTTTTTTCTGTTTGTACCTTTTCTGCTTATGAACTCATGTCATGATACTATGGATACACTTGGAGCTATTTGTTACATCAATTTAACTTTTTGGTCATTAGTCAACAATCGTTTCTTACAGAGGTTTTATTTATTGTAATAGCATTTAGACAACCTTACTACTCATTTAGGTGTTGTTTTATAAGATATATAGGATATGTCCAAACCAATTGTTTTTCCCAAATGAATTTATCATCAACCAGAAAGCAGAATAATTTAGTTGTTTTATCTATGAAAATTTTTTTTGCAAATACTTCATCTGTAATTCACCATAACTGTAGGAAGATGTTTTTGCTATACTGTACTTGTTAAGGTAGCTAACATTTTATTACGCCAAGAATAGATTTTGGCATATTTCTTCAGATACAGGTAGATATGTGGTAAATTTATATAGTTTTCAGTTTTCTTTCTTTTTTTTTTTTTTTGAGACAGAGTCTTGCTGTGTCGCCCAGGCTGGAGTGCAGTGGCCAGATCTCAGCTCACTGCAAGCTCCATCTCCCGGGTCAACGCCATTCTCCTGCCTCAGCCTCCCAAGTAGCTGGGACTACAGGCGCCCGCCACCTCACCCGGCTAGTTTTTTTGTATTTTTTTGGTAGAGACAGGGTTTCACCGTGTTAGCCAGGCTGGTCTCGATCTCCTGACCTCGTGATCCGCCCGTCTCGGCCTCCCAAAGTGCTGGGATTACAGGCTTGAGCCACCGCGCCCAGCCTAGTTTTCAGTTTTCTAAAGAGGAGATGTTGTTAATTTTTATTTAATTCTAAAACATTTATAAATAAAAATATTTTAATCCACATTTGAAGTTCAAAGTCAGTATTTATTTTTTTTCCATGGTTGGAATTAAATGTGTCTTTCTCTGCTTAAAATTTCATTTAACAAATATTTACTAAGTGTCTACTATGTTTCAGACATTATCTTGGATAAAGAGAATACAGAAATGAAGATGTGTCTGTGGATTCCACAGCCCTTCATTTGTACTGGTACAGCCACCAGATTCTATTTTATACGTTTAGAATTAATGGTGTATATATGTATTTACTGTGAGGACATATATATGCTGAAGGAACTAATACTTAAGTGAATACTAATAAGTACTTAAAGTGAATAGTTTTTACTTAAGTAGTTCTTAATATTTGATAACTTAGATATTTAAGTGTCTTCTACTGAGTCATAACAAACCTGTTTGTTGAATATTTCCTTCTGACATGTCTTGAACTTAGTGTTTGAAGCAATGATTGTTTGATATTTATAACTAAATTTTGTTAATACCCAATTAAATTTAGTTATGATGTTGGTGTCAGACAATCTCAAGACTTGGAACTTAAGTTATGGACAAGTAATCAATATTTTATATATGGTCTAGTATATACAGTCTGAGTAGCTTTTCTTAAAAAGTTACATGGCTATATTTGAAATATTCATAATAGAAAATTGTACTCATGTCCTTTTTTAATATACATTATTTCAAACTACTTTTATAGATTTTTAACCAAAAGCACTTTAAATAAATTTTATGAAGACTTTATCATTATCAAATGTCTTTACCTTGAAAGTTAATTTGCATATTACATAACATTTTGTTTATATTTCTACAAAAAGTAGCTATATTCATGAAACGCTAGTCAGATAACACTAGAAATCTAGTAGATAAAAATATCTAATCTATTTATTAATCAGATGACAATTTGAATCTTATAAACATAAAGAGTAACATCCTAAAATCTAGCTGTAAGATATTTATATAAATTGATTTCAGTGTGGGCATTATCTTTATAGACATTAAACTTGGTGACTAAAAGTGACAGTTTTCCTTAAAATTCCATGGATACTAAAGTATTAGAAATGTGAAGAGCTCTTCCTTTGCAATTTCTCTGCATTTCGTTTGTCCTGTACGAACATTCCAGTGTTTCTGTAATATTTGACTGTAATACTTGATGCTATTAAGGTAAATTATGTAAATCATAGAAAATAGCTTGAATGCTAACATTTCCTAATAATCTTACTATGTTTTTTTCTTAACAACAACTGAGATTGTGAGGCATTCCATTCCAAGGATGGTAAAGGAGCCTTACTTAATGCCTACTTCGCTGATGAATAGGTCAGCAGGGATGCTGTTTGATAGAAGCCGGCTCTTTTCTAGATGCTAAGAGCGTCACCGCCGTGATGCTCAGTCTCCACTGGTGCGGTAAATGAGATTCTCAAACACTACTACCCCTGGTGTGGACATATTACTGTTCTGCCATCAGACCACTCTGCGTAGATGCCTACTTCAGGAGATTTTTTAAAAAACTGTTTTGGGATGTTTCATGTTTGCAAAGAGTGAAGTTAACCTGTGATTTTTACTAGCTGTACTACTGTTGTAAGGAATACCAATATTAATTATTACCAAGGATACTAAAAAGCACAGCATATTTTATTTTACTGCCCAGGGATGAAAGATTGTTTGTTTTTCTTGTTCTCATCTGTAAAAGAACGGTGTTTTCCCCTGCTATTTTCTCATCTTCTCTAAATCTGCTGTTAAATTTCTTAGTGTAATCTCTTTGCCTTTGTGAAAGTATCAGTCCAGCAGTAGGCATTTTTACTGAACTCTAGAAAAATGAAACCAGTGCCTAAGGGTGACATGTAAAAAACTGCCTAAGGGGTTTAAAAATTTGCATAAATTATGCTTTCTACTCTTGTATAAAATAATACATTAGTACTTTATTTTTGTGGGTAATATTTTATAATTACCTTTCTCAAAGCTTAGTGTTACTTCCAATAAGTTTACTAAATGTATATCCTTTATTCACATTTTTGGGGAAAATATATTAAACCTCAATAAATTTTATTTAACTTGGCAGATTTTTAGCTGACAACACACAAAAAAGTTTGTATGGATATGTGTTTGCAAATGCATGTTTAAGAGATTCCATACTACTAATATATAGTGGCTGTATAGGCAAATTTGTGCATTAGATAGAACTTAATGACTAGATTGTTTAAATGAGAAGAGTTTTAATAGGAACAGATTAGGAGATAAATGATTTAGAAAAAAATCTTCATTATGGAAATGTGTGGTACTTTTAAAAATACTTCTGGCTGGGCACAATGGCTCATGCCTATAATCCTAGCACTTTGGGAAACTGGGATAGGAGGATCATTTGCGCCCAGGAGTTTGAGACCTGCCTGGGCAACAACATAGTGAGATCCTGTATCTACAATAAATAAATTAGCTGCGTGTGGTGGTGCGCGATTGTAATCCCAGCCACTCTGAAGGCTGAGGTGGGAGGATCACTTGAGTCAGGAGGTCAGGACTGCAGTGGGCTGATTGCACCACTGCATTCCAGCCTGGGTGATAGAGCAAGACTCCACCCCGCCAAAAAAACAAAATCTATAGAAGATGATTAAAAGACATGTTGGTGCTTAAAGAGGGTTTCCGGTAAGAAATTGTCTTGATTCCTTGTCAGCACACAATGAATTGGAGATTTTTGAAGGAGACTGGCCACACCTGCCCATCCATAGACATACTACAGTAGCTGGTGCTGCAGAGAAGTCTTTATCTTTTCTCCTCCATGAAAAATTAGGGTTCTTAGGCCCAGGTAGTCTTTAGAACATGAGTGCTCCCTCACCTTTGGTCACTCTGAATGGTGGTGGTTAATTGAATTCTTAGAATCAAAAGTAATCATGCCTCCATAGTTAACAAGAAAGGGAACTAGGTTTACCCAGAGCTGTCTTATCTACTCCCTTGGGGTTAAATGCTGTGTGTATGTTGGTGGCTTTTGAAATACATATTTCTAGCACTTATTCTCTAGTTCTCCATCCAAATTGCCAGCTGAAGCTGAACTGTACCTAGATGACCCATATATGTCACACACTGGTGTGCCCCGAACCAAATCATTCCCTAAATCTTTCCCTGGGTTTTCAGCCTTACCTAGATTTCAAAACTAACCATTTATTAATTCATCCATTACTAAGCACCTACCATGTAGTATACACATTATTAGGTGCTAGAAAAACCAAGATAATATACAGTTTCTGGTTTTTAGTTTAGCTAAATGGAGAAATTATCTCTGAACCATCTCATTTTCTCCCCTTCATTTACTTGGTCAAGTCCAGTCTATTTTTCCTCCTAAATACAAATGTCTCTTAAACATATTCCTTTTTTTCCACCCTCACTGATATTACCTTAAATTGGTAGCTTCCTTATTAGGCAGTTGCACCAGCTTTCTATCTGTTCTCCTTGTCACTAGGCACTTGCTGGTTCATCATCCATACAGTCATCGGCATAAATCTTGAAAAATAAATGTAGTCTTTCTTTTCCGGTTACACTTTTTTTGATGAGTTACATTATCTACAGAACCAAGTCTACATTCAGTAGCATTTATTTCAAGATCCTTCATAATTTGGCCCCAATTTCTACCCCTTCCTTCATTCACCGTATATACCATTCACAATAAGCTGTTTCCTCTCTGAAAACACACTAACTTTAAATGTTTTTATATTGTTGCATATACTCTCCCCTTACAACTATCGAACTCTCTTTTTACGCATCATGGTCCATCTCCCAAATGTCATTTCTCAGTGGATCTGCACTTTGCCTCCCTCCCTTTTAGTTCATTTTCTTCTCTATAATCAGATAATTATGTTTATGCATATTATAATACTAACATAGCACTCATTTTATGTCATTTCCGTTTTATGTGTTTGTCTCCAACTACCCTGATGTTTGAGGGCATAGACGATGTCTGTTCATTTTTGTATCTCTTGCACAATGCCATCCATGAACATGAGAGTCATTCATTGAATGACCTCCCATTCTCCTTACATATAGTTATGGTCTTTGTGGTTGCTAAAGATTTGCAGTCAGTTTGCATGCTAAAAAGTTCCAGAGATTAGAGGCTTTATCTTCAGTTGCTCTATGTATAAACATACATGCTACTTTTTGTTTATCTGAGCCTATTTGAAGACTAGCAAACCACTCTCCTTTTTTTTTTTTTTTTGAAATGAAAAATCATGGTGGTGATTTAAAGTTGAACTGCTTTGATGATATTTGCCTATTTCTGCCCTGTGCTGCATTTACCACCTCTGCTTTGTGTGTGTAAAAATGTCAGTTGAGCTCTCTTGATATATGCCATGAACCGTCAAGTCTCCTGATTCAGATCAAATATGGTGCTTGTTGGGTTGTGTGGAACTCATACACTGACATTTCATGTGTTAAGTTCGTTTATTTAAATAATTTAGTATGTTTCAGATTGTGAAGCTCCTCCAGGACAAGCAGGATAGGATATTTCATAAGTCAGTGGACATATAACAACCTGTGAACGTATAAAAATAATGAGCATGTTAAAAATTAATTACAGTTGTAAATTGATTTTCTTTTGTTGGCAGAAAGAACAGTTTATTAGCCCAAGAACAGGTTCACACTGTTTTTACATCAAGCATTTCCAGCTGAAGCTTGTTAGTGGCTGCCTCTCAGATTAAGGAAAAAAAAATCCTCACTGTGGTACATGAACTCCTATTGTTATGACATAAATAATCAGCTCATCCCCTACACAGATGAGAACAAAGGACATAATAGTACACAGAGCAAAGATTAAACAAATATCGTATAACCCCATTTAAGATGTAAATCTACAAATATTGTACACATAAAGAGATTTTCATTTTTCATTTTTCTTGTGAATGCCTCAGTCACAATGTAAGACCTAGTCAAAGGAAAAGGAATATATACTGTGGCTTATGAGTCACATAGATTGATTATTTTAAGCTAAGGTGAAATAACATACGTTAAGCAGTGTCAGAATGCTGCTAATGTGTGAAAGCTAGGGAAGTACTATTCTCTTTGATAACAGGATGCTTCCAATTTTTAGGGGATTTGTTTAAACTGAGGAGGACAAAATAACAATTTTTATTTTGAGGAAAAACATCAGTGGAAAACATGACTAAAAACTTAGTAGTAAAACCACTGACTTTTAATATAATTTTTTAAAAACAAAAAACTTTGTTCTGTATTTTCTAACATGAAATCTAAATCCTGACTTTGAAAAAGAGAACCCACTCCCTAGGCTACTTTTTTGTTCATTTGAGTTTTATTCATTTGACTTTGAGCTTGACAAAATGGACAAGAAAAGCAGCTGTGGAAAGCAGTATATAATCCCCTAAAATCTGAACATTCCTGACAATAGAATATATCTTCATAGGGTGTAGAAACCCAGAAAGGGAGCTATAATTTTCCCACAAAATTTAAATTTACCTAAATAATTAATATGACTTTGCTTGAAAATGATTCTAGGGTTTCAGAAAAAGACCTTTCATTACCCTTGCTTTTAATGTATTTTAATATTTTATGAGTTGTAGTTGTGAATGTTTTTGTAAAGAAACTGCTTTGGGATACCATCTTCAATGTAATCTAAAAGTTTCTGAATTTAAGAAATCATGCTTTCCCCCAACCTTAAATTTACTTTTTTTTTTTTTTTTTTTTTTTTTTGAGACAGAGTCTTACTCTGTCGCCCAGATGGGAGTGCAGTGGCACAGTCTGCTCACTACAACCTCTGTCTCCCAGGTTCAAGTGATTCTCCTGCTTCAGCCTCCCAAGTAGCTGGGCCTACAGGCACGCACCACCACACCCAGCTAATTTTTGTATTTTTAATAGACCTGGGGTTTCACCATGTTGGCCAGGCTGGTCTTGAACTCCTGACCTCAAGTGATCCGCCTGCCTCAGCCTCCCAAAGTGCTGAGGTTACAGGTGTGAGCCACCGTCCTTGGCCAATATTTACCTTTTAAAAGTTAAACCTTAAAAACAGCAATTTAATGTTTAATGTAATATATAATCTGACTTATGAAAAATTAACCTGTCATTAGGTTAAATCAGTTCCACATTAATGTTTTACTTTTGTGACATCAAACTCACACATCTAACAATTTTGATCACAGTATTGTTAATTGTTACTTCTCAAGGTTATTCTATGTCCCTGTGGCAGGACGTTTGCCTATACTGTATTGAGATACTTCTTTGTCCTTATTGCTACAATTTCATTTAAAGCTTTTTCTTTGTTTTACTTGCATTGCCTGCTCTCCTGGGTTTCTTACTTCTCCAGCATACTAATAGTTATCGCCTTCACTATAGAATGCAAGCTGGAGTTGTCATTTCCTTCTTCCATAAAGCTTTCCTAATCTCTTCCAACAAAATTATCTCTTTGTATTCTA